AATTCTCTAACTATGCCTGCCTTACAGACAGTCTTGCAATTCAAGTGTATTTACATATACTACTTCACCTAAATGGGAATGGCCCATCTTTTCACCTTTGATAGTTCTTTTTCTGGGGTGGAAAGTCCAAGATTGAGTAACATTTCTGTATTACAAAGTTCCTTTCTTAAGTTTGTATGTTTAATACAATTCCAGCATCGCCTCACCGGCCCAGGATACTTGCTCTGTTAAACTATTAACTCTGGCTAAATCCACTGACATACTCTGCTTCCTCAGCTGAACATTGTGGGATGAAAATATATACCATGCTGATAGATCTCTCATCCTAAATCCATGGCAAATGGGTCTTCCATTTGCTAGGGAATTGTACTCAAAGCTCTAGTTCATTATGCTCCTCACCAATAATTTATTCTTCTCATTTCTCCTCAAAACCCTCCAACCCACCCTCCCCTCCAGTGCTCATTCTTCACTGAATTTGTACTACCACACCGATCCCCTAACTAGCACCCTTTGTACCCCCTTGTTTCCAGAACTTCTGTGTACCTATCTGCAGTCAATCTTTGTTCTGTGCACTAGATCCCCTTGCTCCAGAACTACACTAATGTTTAGCTATTTATCAAAGATGCTCACTAATATTAAAACATTTTTCCCCCACGACAAAAACATTCAAACTGATGATCCTACTGCTCTGTTGTCAGCTATTATTCCATATTCAACTTCTCTTTACTCACTTTAACTCTTTTCTTCTCATCCTTTACCTTTAGTGAAGTGAAATAATTACATAGACTACAAAGATCAAATCAGGAACTAAAGATATTTCCATCCTGTCACACCTATCCAGACTTTTCTTTGTTACTGCTCACTCCATTGAAATGGTCCCAAGGACTTCCTGTGCGTGTGTCAGATATTCAGGATTCAGAAGCTACCTCTAGCATGTTAGCTATGCTACTGGATCTTTTCTCTTATTTCTGAGAAAACATAACTAGGGATGAAGTTCTCATCTTGCAAATCTCTTGCACAGACTATGTCTACCAATGTAGACAACTAAAGTACAACTAAACAACTAAAGTACTAATAATCACCTGTTGAAAGATTAGACAATATTACCCAACTAGAAGGAGTCTGTAAGATAACAAATGTAAAGATCAGGGCCCCATAAGACAGTCAATGAATAACAGTTATTATTTTAAACTTTTATGAGCAGTTATTTTAATGACTATGATTTAAAGTACAAAAATATCCAAAAGATGTTATTATTAAAATATCTGGTCCACAGCAGTGCTTCTCCAATTGTCTCGTACCACAGAATCACTAGAAAGCTTCCTAGTACATGGACTACAGGCATCCTCCACAAATTCTGATTCAATAGGTGTATGGTAGGGTCAAAGAATCTGTACTTCTAACAAGTTTTTAGATATTACTGCTGGTAGATAGTGCTAGTCTACATATTGACTAACAAGTAAGTGTATGTCACAATGACTTTTAAAATATAGCGAATTCTTTGATATGTTGATGCTCAATATTTTAAATTCTTCTATATTTATACTTAGTCATAACATGGTAAAATTTGTTTTTGAACAAGTTTTTCCTTCACTCTGACAGAGTACCACATAAAATCACCAAGTCCTTTACCCATCACATCAAATGCATTAAATTACTAACTAGTCCTTTCTTTGTATAGTTAAATGTTTAAGTACAACAATGTGCTCTTCCAAAAACTTCATTCTTAGTTAAGCGGTTACTGCCTTATCTCCAAATGGGCAGGAAGAAGCAGCTTTCCTGTCTTGTTTTTCCAAAAAAAGCTGCTTTTTTTTCTGAGAGAAGAACCATTAGATTCTTTAAGTGTTTTCTAACTATAAAATAGTAAAGAACCATTGTACTGTATTCCTTAAATTTGAGCTGCTGTAACAATGCTCCTTTGTTCTTAAATCAAGTGAAAAATCTTTCAAGTCACTAACCTATCCAAACACCAACAAGGACACTGTAAGCAACCTCAAAAAATTTTCCAGGACCCTGATATTTAAGAGTTAGATCATCCCTTAATCTACAGTCCCAGTATAGCACATCTTCCTCTTTCTCTTCCAATCTAAGACCTACAAGGCTCTTACCTATATTCTAGGACAATTTTTAAAATTTGTAATTCCTAACAGACAATGCCTACATGCTTTTAAGCATATGCAACTTTGAAAGGATATACACAAAATGAAATAAGTAACTCATTTACTATTTATTCATGTAAGATTTTTATTAAACACAAATTACCATACTAAGGATATATTTAACCCAAATCTCTGTGGTAATAGGTGCTTCATATATCTTGAAAGAGCTGAGTTTTAAAGGAGGGGTACAGAATGCTAACCAGCCATATAAGAGAAGTACATTTCAACCACAGCTGCAGCTGAACCAGTTATGTGTATGTATATGTGTGGTAGGTGGATAGGGGAGGAGAATAAAGGCAGAACTTATTCACAGCTAAGTGGCTTTAATTTATCCTGAGCAGAAACATAACCCTAGGAAATTATGGGGTACAATGAAGATAAACTCTTTTTAAATGATCACCTCTTTGCTACAGTTTAGCAAGCAACTGAGGGCCTGAATAAACAGACACCAGGTAAAAGTGAAGGAATGGATTTGAGAAACAGTAAATCAGGCAGGACTTTGTCTCCATTTTGTTAGTGAGGGTAAGGAATCAAGTGTGGAGTACATTTTTTGCTTAGCACACTATTCATTCATTTTCATGTACATGGAGCTTCAAAGTCATATTATGTGACTTTGGGACAACCCAGTGAACATTCTGGAGGATTTTGAAGCATAGAAGAAAGGACTATGCCAGAAATAAAGTTTGGGAGATTATCAGTATAGATAATTGAAGTCTTAGAGTAATTGGGTTCATATTAAAAAAGAAAAAGGTAGAATCAAACACTGGGTAGACAGTTCTTCTTGGTTTAAGCAAAGGTCTGTTTGACAGATTTTAAGTAGCAAACGTGTCATTTTTTACTACATCTAATTTTACTACATCTAATATGCCTCAAAGAAAATTTTGTTCCAGAAGGTCTAAAATCTATCGTATACAAATAGAAATTGGAGAATCTGTGCTTCCATTACATCTTCCAGATTTGGCAGTATTTTGTGGGAAAATCCAAATATAAAAACAAAGCAAAATAAAACCAGTGTGAACTATGTCCAGGTACTATGTTTGGAGCAGTGGAAAACATGAAAATGGAAGTTAAAGTCCCCACTCTAGAGTAGCCACACCCTATTGGTTTAATCTCCAATCAAGAGCCACAATTCAATCACACTTCTGCTTGCTTGGCCCCACATCCCATTACCATGCGGTAGGCTCATAATCTTCCAACTGACCTGCATCAAAAGGATTCTAAATGATTTGCTATTCCAAAATCTGCCAACCACATTTCTACCTGAAGGTCTATGTACTTGTTTTTCCTTCTGGACAGAATGCTTTTTTCATATATCCACAGGGTTTAAGCCCCTCAAGTTTCTGTTCAAATAACTGCAAACTGAGGCTGACCCATACCCCACCTCTCTTATCTACAGTACTTCACTCCTCATCGCAAAAGCATTGATCATTATCCAACATATTTAGTATTGTTAGTTTCTACTACTAGAATATAAACTTACTGAGAGCTGAGATTTTTTTTTAACTCCCTTGTTCACTGTGGTATACTTTGTGCCTAGAGTGGTGCCTGACAGTCAGTTCCATGACAATTTAACTGATAAATTGTCCAAGTTGAATAATGACAGCAAGCAACAGTAAAATACTACAAGACAGTTCAGTTTTGCTAACTAATCCAATATCACTTGGAGAGATTTTTGAAAATACAGAAGTCCATCAAAGGACCCACCAAATTTCTCAAGCTGGAGTTCTGGGCTGGGAATGTTTAAATAGCTTTCTCGGTGAATGGTTTTTTCTAGTGAAATACATATAACAAACAATTTGCCATTTTACCCATTTCCAGATGATTCTTTGTGCACCATGTTTAAAACTACTGGAATATAATTAGTCAGGTCAACAAAAAAGAATTTGAAAGGTATAACATTTTAAAAAAGATACCATGTTATCTTAGAAAGGGCATGAGCTTTGGAATTGAATACAGGTCTAACACTCATTAGCTGTGAGACTGGGTAAGTTACTTAACATTAGTTTCCACAAAATGGAAAACAACCTCTTACACTCTCTTGCCCCACAATCACACCAAGCTACTTCAAGACTACAGTAAAGCCTTGAAATAAAGTATACAAAATATCCTCCTTGGTGCATGTAACATGCATTCATTACTAGACTCACTTCACTTGAAATGGGAAAAAATTTATGCTGGCTAAAACACAAAAGCAAGTGAATCCTGGTATAAATGCTAGAAAAATGCCTTTTCTTATTCTCTGGGACATAGAAGAAACAATTTAGTATTTCCATAGGCAAGTATTACAACAGTGAATCTCAAACGTGAGCATGCTTGAGAATTACCTGGAGAGCTTGTTAAACATTGTGCTGGGCCCATCCCTAGTTTCTAATTCAAAAATCCTGGGGCAGGGCCCCATGATTTGCATTTGTAACAAGTACCAGGTGACCCTAATGCAGTACAAAGAGTACAACGTTTCAGATGTATTAGATTATTTGATTTCTTAATAAGACAATGAATTAAATCATGCCTATCCTACCCAAAACAAAACCTGAGGAGATTAATTCCTTTAGGGTAATTTTTAAAAATAAAAATCTAAACGTTTTAAAAAACACAAACAATAATATGCAAACAATAAAATCATAAATTTTAGAATTTATGACTTTTAGATAAGTTTATCTATTGATTTAATACAAGAAGAAAATCCATGCCACTAAGAGCCCAATGACAAATTCAAAGTCAAGATAATTTCTGGAATACTCACTTTTTAAAATATTAAAATCTAGATAAAACCCAAAATGTGGCAGTTTAAAAAGCACAAGTATAATTTACAACTTCCCATACCTGACATAAAATACTTACAGGTATGGAGACATTCCGTCACTGTGGTTGGCTTGATAAGATACCCTTTGCAGATATAGCAGGTGATGTAAGGATTGAAATCTTTCACCAAGTGTTTCCTTTGAGTAGCCATTCGTGATTAGTTAGGAAGGCTTTTAGCAGTACAAGCAAAGAGGGGTATTAAGTGGATGAAAGTCCGATCCCAGGAATTGGTGTGAAGTACCCAACTGGACGTCCTGAGGCATGGAAACTATCATCCGGATTTATCAAGAGATTGATGGTCATCACTCCTTTTGGTTGATCCGCTTTTCCATATCTGTTTCCATGACCATTTAAAAAAGATAAGACAGTATTAAATTTCTTATACTGTATAAATATTATTTGTATATTACATTCAAATTGTGCAAACAGGTGAACAGAACATTTCCCTCATTGAAATATTAACTTGTAAACCTAGAATTTAATTCGGAATAATGACAAGTTCATCCAATTCTGATGCTTCACCTCTATACAGATGGCATAGAAGACTTAGCTACCTGTTTTGACATCTTTTTCAGCAATGCATTTTAACTATCTGCTTGACTGCTATTAGGAGTTCTTGCCAAATACAAGCTGAAATAGTCAAAAAATGCAGCACATTATCAGTGTGCTCCTCATTTCTTCTTTGTGCCTCACATCCAGTCAGGTCAAGTTTGATGTCTTTTCCATTTCACCCACTGTCAATCTACCTGTATAATGCCTTCCCACCTGCAACCCATCTTATGTTCTACTACCAGGTTTAATTTATTCTATCACTTTGGGGAGAACCCTCATGTCTCTTTACAAACAGAAAAACATTTGAATTTCTCAGCGTGTCAAATGAGACCCTCCACAGGCTGGCCTTGACATCCTTTCTAACACTTTCCTTCCAGCAAAGGGAAGGCACCACTCTCCAGCTGTCTCCTGTAGCCCTTTATTCAACAAGCCCATCCTCCTCTGAGTCTAGATCCTAGGATACACCCTAAGGATACAGTTAAACCCTTTTCCAAAGCTATCCTCAGTGTAATCTCTCCCTGGTGTTTAACCCTTTCTTGTCCTGATACATTTTCCTTTTACTTTGATGTATAGTTACATTCATTAACACCTCCATTAGACCTCAAAATCTTTTGACAGAAACAGGCAGCATTTAGTAAATGGCTGAAATGGGCAATGATACTTATCCTCTTCCCACCCTGTTTCTTAACTCTAAAATGAAAAAAAAAAAAGTACCAGTCTTGTAGTGTGATAAGAAACGAGAGAATACACACAATGGTGGCACACTGTAAAACCTGAATGTCATTAAGTTTCTCCCAAGTGTTTAGAAAGGTTAGCTTGCAGATAAGTTAACAAACAAAAAAGTTTTTTAAAGGGTTCTTAGCAACTATGTCCTCTTAGAAAAGACAACATGGAAGAAGGTGTTGGATTCCTAAGTTAGTTCTATGAACAGGAACTTTTCTCCTATTTTAACTTAGCACACAGGTAAGGAAGCATAAAGCAGTATTATTACACTGCATACAGAGTAAGTTCTGGGTGTAATCATCCTATCCATCGGCTCGGAATTCGTGTTCAGAGTGTAACAAAAAGAGATCACAAATAACAAACATGGGGTCGCGTTCAGAACCTCAGCCCTGCGTGACTGCAAGACACGTTAATATATCTGTGCAGGGCCTCTGCCTTTCCCACAGGTTTGCCCTGAAACTCCAAAGACAAAGTCCTCTGAGAGAAGAAACGCTCGGTCTGGATATGGGGTGGGGTGAGGACAGTAAGCCGCCGAGCCTTGTCACCAAGACAGTTAAAGGAAGCATGTACCAGCAGCGACGGGTGGGGGCGGGAGGGAACTTTTTCCGCGTCCGCCAGCGGGACCCAGCGGCCGGCCCTGGGCGGTCCGAGCGCAAGTCCGCCCCGCCCGCCTCGCAGGTGC